TTAAAAATTATTATGGGGTTTCTGTATGATAATGATAGCAAGCTAATCTAGGGGTCAACAAACATTCTCTGCAAAGGGCCAGACAAAATTTATTTCAGGTTTTGTGGGCTACATGTGATCTGATCACATCTTCTCCCTTTTCTTTTAAAAAAAACCCTTAAAAATATAAAAACACTCTTAGCTGGCATAAGCCAGGGGCCAATGGGGCTGGATTTGGTCCTCAGACTGTAGTTTGCAGACCCCTGTCCTAATCTCTTTACACATCCCCCTAAAAAACCCCCATATAATAAAAAAGAGCAAAAGGAACCACCTAAACCCCATGCTAATGGCAAAACTAAAAGGACAACAAATACAACAAACTTCAATTTACAGTCATCCCACATCTGTAGACTCAACCAACATCAGATGAGAAATATTCGGGGGGAAAAAAAAAAACCAAAAAACCAAAAAATAAAAAATAACACTACAACAATAAAAAAATAAAATACAAAAAAAAATACAATATAACAACTATTTACACTGTATTAGCTATTATAAGTAATCTAGAGATGATTTAGTGTATGAAGGAGGATGCATGTAGGTTATATGCAAATGCTACACCATTTTGGACTTGAGCATTTGTGGATTTTGGTATCTGTGGGGAGTCCTGGAATCAATCCCCTGAAGATACCAAGGGACTACTGTAGTTGCAGTTCAGGTTCATTGTCCTGGGATGACTGTACATATAAGTGGGAAAATAAGCATCCCAAATTAGCAGTGTTAGCTCCAAAACACATAGCACCAATGAGAAGTCAGGATAAGATTGTGTAGAAGAAAGGAGGGTGTAACAAGGTTCTAGTGGTAGCAGAACACCTATAACATAAAATAGAATTCACCTCCAGAAGAAAAGAGGGACCCATCATGAGTGAGGAAATACTGAGATCAGGTCTGAGACCTCATGGAACAAAACAGAACACTGGCTATTAGAAAGATCAAAGGAAATGATCTAGAAAGCGTAGATCAGAAGTCTTGGTAAGATACGACTTTTGGGAGAGAGGTACCTCGGAATGGGGAAATATTTCTTGGAGGCTTACTGGTGAAGGCTTAGTGGTAAAGAAGAAAGCAGCTCAAACAAGATAATGTCAAAGAATGAGAAGATGATAGACTACTCTCAAAAGACACTACTTAAGAATACTTAATTTCTTTTGTGGACATATATTTTTATTTCTTTTTAGTAAAATGCCTAAGAATGGAATTGCTGGGTCATTTGCTAAGTGTATTATTTAACTTCGTAAGAAACTAACAAACTGTTTTCCAAAGTGGTTTTACCATTTCACATTCCTAGGGTAGTATGTGAGAGTTCTAGTTCCTTTATTACAAATAAACAATTGAACAACAGAAATCTGGGAATCTTCAATGCTTCCCTGTTTGTCTTATCCTTCATATCCAACTATATAATAAGCCCTAAATTTTAGGGGGCTGATTTGCCTCCTAAATCATTTTTCAAATCGTTTTACTTCTTGTTATCCCCATTGTCACTGCCTTAATTCAAGCCACCATTATCTTATATCTAGGTTACTACAAAAATTTGCTAACAGATCTCTTTGCCTCTAATCTAATCTCATTTCAATTCATTTTCCATATGCTATGGTCTAAATGATCGTGTCCTCCAAAATTCATGATGAAAATCTAATCACCAAATGAATGGCATTAGAAGGCAGAGTGTCTGGGAGGTGATTAGGTCATGAGGGCAGAGCCCTCATAAATGGGATTAGTAACCTTATAAAAGAGGCTCCAGAGAGATCCCTTGCCCCATTCCTGCCATGGAAGGACACAATGAGAAGGTGCTGTTCTATGAACCAGGAAGTGGGACCCCAATAGATACAATCTGCCAATGCCTTGTCTTGGATTTCCCAGCCTCCAGAACTGTGAGAAATAAATTTCTGTTGTTTATAAGCCACCCAAGTCTATAGTATTTTGTTATAGCAGCCCAAACCGACTAAGACACAAGAGCCAGAGGAAATCTTCTTGAACTATAAATCATGATATTTCTCTTCCTAAAAGGCTTCAATGGCTACCTACAGCAGTAGTATAAATTTTTACTAGATTGCAAGCCTCAGTGTCTGCCTATGTCTCTGGATTTGTTTCTTACTGCACTTTTCCTTACACTTAAAGATGCAGCCATACTGAATTTTTCATTTCAAGGCCTTTTACATATCCTGTCCTTCTGCCTAGAGTATCTTTCCTACTCTTCACCTGACTAACTTCTACTCATGTTTTGAGACTCTTCACCCAAGAAACCTTCCCTGACCCTCCATTAGGGTGCCCCTCCTAAGTGTCCGTATAACATCCTGCACTTCCCCTAAGGCATGTATTACACTATGCTGTAATTACTTATCTACGAGTCTGGATCCTCTTTCTCCACAGGGCAAGGTTTATATGCTGTCGGCCAAGGTTGCATCCCCATTAGTACAGCACATGGTATATGCTAGGCACTCAAAATGTTTGTCAAGCAAATGAGAGAGATGTTTTTGCAGCTTTACTATAAATCCCAATATCATAATTCAGGCATCAGCATAATTCCACATGTGTTTCAGTGCTACCATAGCCCATTAAAAAAAAAAGAAAATTAGGTAAAATTCTTTGTTTTCTCTACCATTCTTTCCAAATCCCCTGTCCCATTGTTTCCTGTTTCTTTTTTCCTACATGCAGTCACCAAGCACGTTTATGTTTTCCTCTGAACTTAGTCTAAGGTCTCCTACACCAACTAGATCTGACTTCCAGTTTTAAGCTTCTTTTCCTTTCTTCCTATGCAATTAAAGTTGCTGTGTCTGAGGTCAGATTTTCAAATTAAACCAATTCAAACTATAATATAATAACTTTCTCATGGGTATTTATCTTTTTAAAATAATTTAATAGTCTATTATATCATTCAACTTATAAAAGTAGTATATGCTCATTAAGGAAATTTGCCCCATCTCACAAAGTTAATTACTATTAATATTTGAGTGTATTTCCTTTCTGCCTTTCTCTAAATACTGTATATATATTCATATGTGTGTTTTACATATCTGTGAGCCTCCTGCTTTCACTAAACACTATAATATAAGCATTTTCCATGTTATCACAAGCTTTTCAAAACCAACTACAATACTATGTAATTGGGAAGATATACAGTGTTTTATTTATATAATTATTCTCCTAGGGGCATTTTCACAGAGAACCTGGCTCACTCAAATTCATCTCTAATTAAACATGTTTAAAGGTGTTTTTTCAGCAGGAAGCCTTCATGCTCCATTTCAACTCCAGGTATTTCCACTATCATCACCATCATAACTGCCTCAGAGCCCTCTTCCATATTTAGTAGGCCAGGTAATATAATTCATAAAATCAGAGATACATCATATCTAACCCTGCTCTCTTTATCTTTTTGATGAGTGTGTATTAGAGAGAGCGAGACAGAGAGAGAGAAAGGGAGGAATGGAGGAAGGGAGATAAGAAACTAGAGAAAATATGGGTGGCACAATAAAATTCAACATTTGAAATCTTGGCTTACTGCTGGGCATAAAAACTGTACCTGCATAAGGATTATTATTTTCCTTTGTTTCTATCATAAAAAAAAAAAATTATCACCCTGGTTCTTTTGAAAGTACCTTAAAATCAGACTATCTCAGGGACCCTCCACCACAACCAGATACACCGCCAATGCCACCAGCAACTAGGTAAGGAGCATGTCAAAAACATCACCTCCCTGTGGGTGGCCCACCACAGCCACCACTATAACCACAGCTGCTGCAAAAGTGGCTAGAAGCCACAACCACCATGCAGATGATCCACCAGCCACTGGAGTGCATTGACACAAGGAGAGTCACCAGCAGAGACCAAAGAAAAGAAGAGGATGTCTCTCTCTACAAAGCCCATTCCACAGTGAAAGAAGAAGCATCTACTCCACGATAATATTGAGGGACCTGAACACACCTTTCAGCATTGGATAGATCATCTAGGCAACAAATCAAGAGAGTAACTATAACTCTTTTGGAAGAAGAGAAGAAATCTAGGGTTATCAGAAGTGGGAGGGGAGAGGGAAAAGGGGATGGGGAGAGATAGGACAAGGGGCATAAAGAACAAATACCATTTGTAACAATATATATATATGCTAGTAATATTGATTTGATCAACATATGTCAACATTGAACCCCCAAAATATGTGTAATCAGTTATGAGTCAATAAAAATTTTTTTTAAAAAAATCAGACTATCTATTACCAGTGCCAATACATTTAGAAATTCTCTTGTGTCAAAATGTAGCAAAGTCCGAACATAAGGATAGATTTCTTCCTCAGAGGAAGCTTCTGCTGAATGTAGGCGAATCAGAAATTCAAAAACCTGCAGGTTGAAAAAAAATATTGATTATTTTCTCATCCTATAAAGTATCTTGCTGAAGCAATGATTCCCATGTGGAAAAATAAAGGCAGGTTGAATTCAGTTTAAATTGCCACTATGTTATAAATTCTCTCTTAAATCCTCTCTCAGCTATAATTATTGACTTCAGTGATAATGTGTAGACTCTCTCCTATAATTAATAGCTCCTGGTCCAGGTGTAATGGCCAACTATAATTTGTCTTCAGTGCATTTTAACAAGAGGTGCAGATAGTAAAAATGCTATGAAAATAGTACCAACCTGATTTTTAACCAAGGGAACGAGATCTTCAGGTATGTCACCAAGAGGATAGGCACGACCTGCTAGACAACAGCTAGAAGAAAAGAATAAGAATATATTTGATTAGTCGTAAAGAGGTAACTTTCAAGTGAGTAGCACATTGTTTCTCAAATCTGGGATACTACTTTGATTTTTAAGCAGACTTAACTCTTGCTAGTTAGGTCAAGTTTAAAACCAGATCAAAATGACATCCAGTTCAAAAAATGTGGGCAACAGGAATGGTGGTGAATGAAGTAACATATCCTGTGACTGAGTAGGAGCTTTCATTTCTTCATATTTTTCCTAAGAAAAACCCAAGGTTCACTAAGAGGACAAGAAATGAGGACAAAGTACCTAAATGCCCCATACCCAGCATCTAGAAAGAGCCTAATGGCACCAGAAAACTATGGTTTACCTCTTAAAGGCCTACCATTTTCAGAGACTTTTAAACCAATGGCTGTAAGAATGGAGATTAAAGATAGGTAATGAGCTAGGCAAATAAATGTCTGGAAAATGTGTACAATAGAACAAGGCTTTCTTTTTTCTTCAGAGTTAGAATCTGAAGAGAAATTTACCTAGTTTACCTCCACATCAGACATGCTTTATGGCTAATGACTTGCCTTTAGGATGAATTTATCACAAATGTCTTCTAAATGTGTCTTCCTTTTTTCTGTTTTTAGGGTGGGGCACAAATTTTAAATCTCTTTAAACCAGCCATCAATTTTTAATGTTTGGTTAAAGACAACTGGATACCACCATATTCTAAAAAGATTAAAGTACTAATAACAAAGCACTAGGCCAATGATGTATATGCTCTACTACACTAAAGAATCAATGTAACGAGTATGAAATAGGTCTCAAAGTTAACTCTGATAGATGGGAGCTAAAATGATGCTCTAGCAGGTCCTGCCAACCAGCTATCTAAAAGTTTTATCAGGACCCAGTTCTGAGCCTACACAGTCTATTGGAATGAATTCCAGGAGTCAGGAGATAAGTATTCTTGTTTTACCTCTGTCACTAACTTTTCCATAATTTAAACAAATTTCCTGCCCTTATATATAAACTAGAGACAACACATATCCCACATAGTAGTCTGTAGTAAAAGTAAAATATTCTACATCATGGTTTCTCAACCTCAGACCTATTAATGGGGCCAGATAATTCTTTGCTGTGGGGACAACACTGTGCATTGCAGCATGCTTAGCAGCATCCCTGGCCTCTACCCCCTAGATAGATAGCAGTAGCATCCTAGACCCAGTTGTGACAACCAAAAATATCTCTAGATAGTCCACACATCTTAGGGTAAGGGGGAATCACCCATGGTTGAGAACCACTGCTACACATAAAAGAACTTTGGAAAATGAAAAGGACTATATAGATAAGAGATAAGAGAATCTCTAAAAATATAGGGGAAAATATAGAAAGAACATACACACAGATAATAAATAAAAACCTCTTACCTAATATATACAAGAAGCTTGTTGCCCATAATAACTTGCTCATCTAAGATAGAAAAAAAAGTATCTTCAGCAATTCTCTCTCAAAACCTTTTCAGAGATATAATTTTTATGTGGAAACAAAAAATAAAACTTGGCATTTAAGGTAAGGTAAATATATTCCCAAATAACAGAAAATTGAGGTAAGACCACTTTATTATTTTCTTGATTTTTATTAGAGTCTTTTCACAGACACAAAATCAGTGAGTTATCTAATACATATAAAAGAAATAGATATGAGGGTAGAGATCTATGTATTGTTGGCTTAACTGCTAGCCTAGGACTAGTGGAAGGTGTAGGGCAGGCAATGAATTAATGAACTGTAGATCATGGCCAATTAATTAATATTAAGACATAACTATAATGTCTTCTTATCTGTAACATGGACTTTCACCACCTACAGTGCTGTAGGGCTGAGGAGACCATTGTTCCCAAATGTTTAAAGTAACAGAACTCAACTAAATGACCTTTAGGGCCCTTTCTATTCTAAATTATATCAAAAATGTAAGATTCTGTCTTCTGGTGATATAAGCCTACTTCTTTGACTAAAAGAAATCAGAAAGATAATTAGACCAAGTTTTAGGTCAAAAAGTCAAGGTCAACATAGAATGGAGTAGGAGTATCAATAAGGGTAAAGTGATTAGGAATGCTTATGGTGTACAGATTATAGGTATTTGTGGTTGGTAATAATGAAGAGCTAAAGTTTCTATTTTCGGTATATGAATAGTGGACATAATGCAAGCAAATGTACAAGTACATCTTTTACTTTATCAGTAATGCTTTATAAATGCTCTAAATCTGTGATGTTATGAATGCAAATAAATTTGAATTGCTCAAAATTATATAAATAATTACATTTTGCTTCAATACCAATTGTTATTTGATCCAACTCAACTAGTATGACACACAGTGGCAATCACCTTACTGGTATACCAAGTTCATGTTTATTGGCTAATTAGATAAACACCTTTATTGCTAGAAATCTCAAGTAGAATGTATCTAGCTCACAATATTCTTTAAGCAAGGCAAATTTACTTTAGCATACCCATCTCCGTTATTCCACTACTATGAGTTCCTTAGGAGCAGGTAGTCCATGTTATCTCTGTATTCCTAGCATCCAGTATAGTGTCTGGCACGTGAGTAGGTAATCAGTAAATGTATACTGAATTGACTGACAGAGTACTTAATTTTCTATAGCTTTTCTTTTCCCAATATCTTCTTTTAGACAATTTTGTGTTGTAAAAGCTCATTATTTCCATTTGGATTTTTCAAAACTTTACTTTCATTTCTGGTAGATTGTGTGTGTGTGTGTGTGTGTGTGTGTGTGTGTGTGTGTGTGTGTGTGTAAAGCAATTTTCAAGTTGGGAAAAAAAAGATTAGGTTTAGGGCTGCTTTTAGGTATGAGGGATTAAGACTGTACAAAATGACTCCCTCTGCACCCACCCTTATATGAAAAAACTGCAGAACATGGACATAATACAAAAAGTAACTGTCTAAAGTTATTGAAGAGTGAATAGAAGTGTACAAATCTAGTGGGGAGTTCAGACTCACTTGGTGGAGGAGAGACAGGCAGCCATACTTTTCTTTTTCGTGGTCTTTCCCTGGGTACATGTACTCTGAACTGCACACATGGAGGTGGGGTAAGGGGTTGTTAGGCAGCACATGCCCCTCCCCCCCGCCCCAGCCCCAATCTTTCTGGCCTAGGAGATCAGAAAAGTAAAGTCAGGAAACCATGAATATGGAAGAATGGAGGAATCCCAAAAGGGAAAGAGTCACAGAGGGGATCCTCAAACTGTCTGCCCACATCCGTGATTGACCCTAAACTACCACACAGGAAAAAGACTCAAAGCAGCTCAGCCAAAGACTAAAAAATTGGAACCAAGACTGGAACTCCCTGCCTGAAGGTACTGAAGTGTGAAGAAAAGCAGACAGAGTCTGGTGGGGAATTCACAGGCTTGGAGGAGTGGAGACAGGGAGTTGTACAAATAATTTCTATCACTTGTAGCTTTCAGCCTGGGATTAAGTGCAGTTAGTGTGGAGAGCACAGCATAGCTGGTGGCTCACATGGAAACACAGCAGCAATCTTTCTGGCCAGGGGAACTAGAAAAAAGAAGCTAGGAAACAAGAACAGTTAAAAGATTGAGAGAATCTTGCAAAGAAAGAGCCAGAGAGAGGATCCCCAAACTCTGTATACCCTCAGCACTGACTGACCCCTAAACTATGCATATGGATTAGAATCAAAGCAGACTAGCTAAAAACAAATGATTTGAAGAGAGAATGGAGCTGCCACATGAGAAACAGTTTGCTGTTGAAGTCCAGCCAAGAAAATCACCTGATAAACAAAGGAAAAATATACTCAATGGAGAAAAATAACAGGATCCAGAATTTCCACGATGTAACATTCATAATATCCAGAAAACAATCCATAATTATCCAACAGATGAAGAACCAAGAAAATAAAACATATTCTCCTCAGGAGAAAAGAAAATCAATCAATTCCAATCCTAAGATGAACAAAATGTCAAAACTAATAGACAAGGATTTTAAAACAACTATTATAATTACTCCTCAATGAAGCAAAATGAAACACGTTTCAGTGCATGAAAATTTCAACAGATAAATGAAGAGTTGGACCAGAGAAACAGAAACAATAAAAAAGAATTAAATGGATATTACAGAACTGAAAAACACAATTGTTGAAAATAAAAATTCACTGAGTGGATTTAACAGCTGAATTGACACAAAAGGGAAAAGAGCAGGTGAACCTGAAGGTAGAGCAATAGAAATTATCCAAGGTGAAGAACAGAGAGAAAATAAAATAGAAACAAAACCCAGAGGGACAGACCTCTGAAATGGTGGACCTCCAAAAACTGCTCCCCCACAAAAAAAAACTGCTCCCCAGGAGACTATCAAAATTGTCTTTTCAGAATTCTTGACACTAAGGTTTGCCATGATCTAAAGAATATTCAAGAAAAATGCCTGACTCTTGATGAGAACAGTAAGTTTTATAACATTTTAACTTAACCAAGTGCCAGCTGCCCTGTCCCACCTTCACTGTGCTTTGAAAACCAGTAGCCTTGTAACTTTGGCAGCTGTGAAAACCAGCAACCCAGCAGCCAATCAAAGGGGCAGAAAGCCCATCCTCAGAGAATGGTCACTATTTGACTTATCTGGCAACTCACTTAAAAGCTCCATTCTCAGGGCTTGTCTTTCTTTGTCTTGACTCAGAACTCACGCTGTAGGAACAGCACTACTCCCAGAGCATCTGTGAAAATAATCAGTGCTATTGTTTAGCATTACAGCTGCCTAAGGCAGTGTTAGCAGTTGGGACTAATAAGAGGCTCACCAGAAAACTTTAAATGAAAAACTGGATAATGGAAGGTCTGCTGGGGGGGTTGAAAAGCTCAAATATACTCCTAGAATTCTTGAAGGATATGCACACGTGCAGAGCTGCACACATATTCAGGGAAGACCTGAAAAGGCCCTAATCTATAACCCATGGCTGATTTTGAGGCTCTATGCAAGCAGAAAGTGAAGGCTAAGGCAGAATTGTAAACTGCCTCCCAGAGAACTGAAAATTTCAAAATAAAATGAAGTAAGAACTGATACAATTGAAGCGAGCAATAATTCAACAATAATATTTGGAGACTTCCATATGCCACTTTCAATAATGATAAAAGAATCAGCAGAAGATGAATGGGAAACAGAAGACTTGAACAAAACTATAAGCCAACTAGACCTAACAGACATCTATACAACATTCCACTCAAGAACAGAACACATTCAACACATTATTTTTAAGTGTACATGGAACATTCTCCAGAACAGACCATATGTTAGGCCATAAAATGTCTTAGTAAATTTAAAAAGATGGAAATCATAAAAAGTATGTTCTCTGATCACAATGGAATGAAATTAGAAATCAGTATCAGTAGGAAATGTGGGAAATTCACAAATAGGTTGAAATTAAACAACACACTTCTAAATAATTAATATCACAGGAGAAGTAAGGAAATACTTTTAAGACAAATGAAGACACAACTTACCAAAATTTATGGGATACTGCTAAAACATTACTTAGAGGTGATAACTTAAAAAATCTGCCCTGACCAGATCAGCTAAATTGTAGTGCCTTGGAAAATATGGAATGAGTCAGTAGTCATGTCCCATGTCTTAAAAAAAGTTATAATAAGACCATTTTAACTTAGAAGCAGGCATATTGGCACCAGAAAAGCAATAACATAACCTGGAATGCTTCTTGTAACTCTTACTCTAGATCCCTGCATGTAGGATGTAACCTAGTAACAATCCCGAATCTATACTTAATGTGCAACCAACAAAAACTGATGTAAGGGCCGGCCCGGTGGCGCACTGCTATAGTGCGCCGCTTGGGAAGTGCGGCAGCGCTCCCGCCGAGGGTTCGGATCCCACATACAGACCGGTGCCCGCTCACTGGCTGAGCGAGGCGCAGGAGCAACACCGAGGGTTGCGATCCCGTAGCCGGTCCCGGTCCGGTACGGGGGCGACACTGAGGGTTGCGATCCATTGCCGGACACGGAAAAAGACAAAAAGGAAAAATAAATAAATAAATTAATTTAAAAAAAAAAAAAAAACTGATGTAATGATAAGGGAAGCTGTCTTCTCTCTCTCCTTTGATTCTTCCCTCCTTCTATGTATAAAAGAGCTAAGCTCTGCTGGTCCCCTTTGGAGGGCATTTCACAGGGTGATCTGACCTATGTGTTTCTCCAGTTGCAATTGTCATATTGGCTATGTTTTATATGTTTGGCCTCAGTTTCTTTTAGGTCAACAGAGGGATATTTGTAGCTGTAATCACCTATTTTAAAAAAGAAGATCTTATCAATAATCTGAATTTCCACCTCAAGAAACCAAAAAAAAAAAAAAAAAAAAAAGAGCAAACTAAATCCAAAGCAAGCTGGAGGTAGGAAATAATAAAGACTAAAGCTGAAATAAAGACAGACAAAAGAAAATCACTAAAGCCAAAATTGGTTCTTTGAAAAGATCAACAAAACTGACAAATCTTTAACTACACAAACCAAGAAAAAAGAGAGACTTGAATTATGGCAATGGGGCTGGCTCATGGCTCACTCGGGAGAGTACGGTGCTGATAACACCAAGGCCACGGGTTCGGATCCCACATACGGATGGCCGGTTGGCTCACTGGGTGAGCGTGGTGCTGACCACACCAAGTCAAGGGTTAAGATCCCCTTACCGGTCATCTTTAAAAAACAAAAAAAAAAGAATTATGGCAACAATGGAGACATCACTACTGACCTTGTAGAAATAAAAGAAATTACAAGGTGAAAGAGCTCAGGGAATGGCACTCCAAAATATGAAGGCTTGATAGGCTGATTAATTTAAACTGAAGGCACTTGAAGATCAACAGCTGCTGGAAGAAGTTTTCCCTTATCTGCCTTGAGACCAGATCCTCCAAAAAGAATTCAATTGTCCTAGATCCCCTCCCTAGGAATCTCATCATCTGGGGGAGATTGACTCATATTACAGGAAAGAAGATCTGAGGCCCAAAGAGATGTTGTCACAGGCTATCACTTGTTCTTTGGGTCTAATCATTCTCTCCCCCCAAATCATTTACTCTCCCCAAAATTCCCTACCTCCCCTCTCCCCTCTGCCCTATGAAGTTAGTGTAAAAGCTTCTAAATTTCACTAGGTTGTTGGGAACTCACTTTTATTTCCTGTGATGCCGCAGTGCATGTAACAAATTTGTAAACCTTTTCTCCTGTTAATCTGTCTACTGTTTATTTCATAGACTCAAGTTACTAAACCTTCAGAGGGTAAATGGAAAGTTCCCTTCTCCCCTACAAAGGGAATATTATAAATGACTATATGCCAAAAAGTTAGATAATGTAGATGAAATGGACAAATCCCTAGAAATTCACAAACTATTGGAACTACCAAAACAACTGACTCAAGAAGAAACAGATAACCTGAATAGACTCCAACAAGAGAAGAAACTGAACTAGTTATGATCTGAATGTGTCTCCTAAAATTCATGCATTGGACACTTAATCCCCAATGTTAAATGTTTGGAGGTAGGGTTTTTTGGGAGGTATTTAGGTCAAGAGGGCTCTACCCTCATGAATGAATTAAAGCTCTTTTTTGCTTTTCTGACAAGTGAATGGCCAATAAAAAGATGATCAACATCACTTAGCTATCAGGGAAATAAAATTAAAGCCACAATGAGATACCCTTACACACCCATTAATGGCTAAAGGTTAAAAAAGATATTAAAAGATTGACAGTATCAAGTGCTTGCAAGGATGTGAGCAACTGGAACTCTCATATATTGCTGATGGGAATGCAAAATAGGAAAACTATTTTGAACAACCATAAAGCAGGACCTGAGAAAGAAAAACATACATTCACCATACAATCCAGCCATTTGAATCCTAGGTATCTGTCCAAGAAAAATGAACACGTAGGCTCAAACTGAAATTTATTCATAGCTATGGGTTAGGAATGGGGGGTAAGAGCAGAACAAGAAATACTTGTGATGATGAAACTGTTCTGTATCTTGACTTTATCAATGTGAATATCCAGTTGTGATATTGTACTTTAGTTTTACAAGATGTTATCATTGGGGGAACTGTAAAGAGTATACTGAATCTCTATGTGTCATTTCTTACAACTGCATGTGAATCTATAATTATCTCAGAATAAAAAGTTTCATTTGAAAAAAAAACTTGTTCACAACTTTTGTAGCAGCATTATTCATAGCAGTCCCAAACCAGAAACAACTCAAATGCCCATCAACTGGTGAATGAATAAACAAATTATGGTATATTCAATCCATGGAATATAATCCAACAGTAAAGGGAACAAAATCTTAATTCATACAAAAACATGGATGAATCTCAAAAACATTATGCTAAGTGAAAAAAATAAAATACCAAAGGCCACATACTGTATAATTCTATTTACATGAAATGTAGTGACAAAAAGTAGATCAGTAATTGCCTGGAGGTGCAGCTGTGGGGAAAGGAACATGTACAAAGGGGCAAGAGGAAACGTTTTAGGATGAGAAACAATAGTTCTTTCTACAGTTTGATTATGGTGGTGGTTACATGATTATATACAATTACTAAAATTCACACTGTATACATATAATTAGTGAATTTTAAAACATTTAAATAATACCTTAAAATAGAAAAAAGAGAAAAAATTAAGGCTTAGAAAATCAATACCTGTTAGCGGTTTTCCTGCACTTAGAGGATGAGCAATGACTCTGAAAAGTTTCTGCATTAAAATTAATACGAAAACAATCACCATCATTTTAAAGAGTAATATTTTTAAAAAGATAATCAAGAATCTTATGCTATTAATCACCTTTCTCTAATGAAATTAGTCATCCGCTATTGAGATTAAATATAAAATCTTTTAATGTATGCATCACTGAGAAACAATCATTGCTGTCATATTCTTCACTGAAAGAATTTAATAAATACCAGTTACATGAAAGTTTTTGTTATAATTTCTTTTTTTTTTATTTTGTCTTTTTCCATGTCCGGCAACGGATCGCAACCCTCAGTGTTGCCCCCGTACCGGACCGGGGACCGGCAACGGGATTGCAACCCTCGGTGTTGCTCCCGCTCCTCGCTCAGCCAGTGAGCGGGAACCGGTCTGTATGTGGGATCCGAACCCTCGGGCGGGAGCGCTGCTGCGCTTCCCAAACGGTGCACTAACCAGTGCGCCACCGGGCCGGCCCTTGTTATAATTTCTAATATAAGGTATCCTTAGATTATTAGAAGGGCTTTATTCTTTAAAAAAAAAGTAAGCAAATGAAAGGATTAATGTCCCACCAATGTGGTAACGAAGATTACTTTAAACTGAAAACAGAAGCCACAGAAAGAAACATTATCTAAACTTAAGCAAAGGCTCCTGAAAATATAGCTGTCATGGATCCCCCTCAGGAGTTTCCTGTTTGGGAGAAGACTGACCCTTAACACCAAGAAGTGCAAATTCAGTTGTCCTTTAGCGTCAAAAAGCCCAATAGAACTTTCATACTTTCCCACTAATGCCTTAACTCTGCCCCCTCTTTTTGTTAAGCTGGTATATAAACCTTTACCTCTGGCTACTTAGCAAAACTACTCATTACTGAGTCTTCTCACACATGTGAACAGACCTTATCTTTTCTCCATTAATCTGTATATTGTCACTTGCAGACCCCAACTCCACCACCCCCACAATGCCCTCCATCATTGGAACATAAATTGTTAGAGGAAAAGTTTTGCCCCCCAACACAAGGCTTTAGAAACAACCAAAACTAGAACTAAGGAAATATCTCAAAGGCTATAGTAATCATATCAAATGTGGTAACACTCTCTTTCATTCTAGGAAATATAGAAAATTTCAAAAGGAAGGATACTACCTCTTAATTCAGACCTCTTTAAGTACTAAAAATAACTAAAATGTAAACACAAAAAAATGATTTCCTTACAGGCAGAGAATTATAAAAGAGGAATCACGGGATGCACCTAATCTCCCACTGCTAAAATCTCCAAATGATTATTTAATAATAAATACCAAGCTGCTGAAAGCAATTAAACTTGAAAATTACTCTGAACACAAAACAAGGCAACCTCAATAACCCAGTGTTCCATTTGAGATATATGGGTATAAATGCAAACCAGATTGTGAGGAATAAAAAGCCCACACAAAACAAAAATTTCAAAAGTAATATAACAAAATTTCAGCAATCATTTTTATCAACATGAGAATGTCTCAAATTAGAATGTGTTTTGAAGGATTATTTAGAGAGAAACTAGAAATTGCATTAATTCTTCCTAACTGTGGTTTAGTAATGGCATAGAGAACATTTTTGCATGCAGAGAGGTACTGGACCCCAGTGGGGAGATAGCTGACAATTCTCTCAGGGAAATACTGCACCTTGGTAAGAAAGCAGCTGAGAGGTGTTCAAGGGTAAAGAATACTCACTTGACATACAGACAATCGGCATCAAAACCAGAGGAAGAGGGGTGTGGCACTAATATCAAAAACTGACCAAGAGAAGAGAGGTACAACCAAAACTCAAGGGTTATCTATTAGAGGGATACTCACCCTACCAATCTTAATGTGCTTAAAGAAGTCTGAAATATCATAGAATGACTGTTGACTTAATAATACTAAGGATAGGTTTGGATGGCATTAAATTTACAAAAAGTTGACTGGGTGCCTTCAGCAGATGCCTGGCTCTTCTGAGGTATATTAGTCACTGTAATAAAGCAATGGACTGGGAAGGCACTATATGTATCCAAAACTCATTATCCATAATTCTGTCCTCAAATTTAAGATAAATAAAATGGATATGGAGTTTTGTTCTTCTTAAAATAAGCCCAAACTGCTTTTCAGATTCTCTTGATGAGGAGACTAAAAAATTTAAATAAAAGCTATAAAATACAATAAATGCTATAAAACTCTGAATTGAGAAAAGCACCAAATTAGCAATTGACAAATAATGGTCTACCATCTTAAGGACTCTCTGCTAGCAGAACATATCTACAAATAGCATTATCCAATAGTATATTTATTATATACAATGATTATATATAATAAATTTCTTATACCTTTTGGAAAAGTTACTACAGTATCAAAAAGGCTTAGGAGAAAAAAACCTAAAGTCCAACATGTAACCACTACTTTCAATTTTATCTATTGTTTCCTGGTATTTAAATACTTACTTATGCAGATAAAAAAGAAACCAATAGTAGAAGGCATGAAATTAAAGACTACCTAAAAGTCTCAAGCTAAAGTGGGTATAAGTCTAATAAATCTAGAAAAAAATTTTTAAATGATTGGATGAAAACAGAAACTATTCAAAGCAAACAGAGAATAGGGAAAACATTAATAGACAATATTAAATATGTATCCAAGTTAGGAAGTATCTTACCTCCATTGGACTAATAAATTCATTCATGCCTCTGTTGTAGACATAGATCATAGCATCATATAGGTGATTCTCCCAGCACATGAGAACTACCTGTAAAAAGGAAAAGTCACTTGGCCCATACAATTCAGTAAATTTCACCAATTATTTTCCTTAAAGCTTTAAGAATTAAAAAGATCTTAAATTCTCTTCCCTAATTTTTCTTATTCCTTCTCTGACAAAAAGTAAAACTGAAGTACTCAAACACAATACCAGGATAGAAACTGTTGTAGCTTCAATAATAGTTTTAACAGAACAATAGTAAAACAGCTACTTTTAAAGATCCTCCAATGTCTAAATTTGTTTCTTCTCTATCCTCTTCCTTTTCATATTCATTTTACCTTTGGTCAATTGTTCTACAAATATTTACTAACACCTACACTCAGGTCCTCTCCTAGGCATTGGGGATAAAATGATGGATAACACAAATCCAGACCAAGTCCCAACTCTTACAAGACTTACATTCGTCTTGGACACTCACCAAAAGAAAGGAGGAGCACAAAATGGTGTATGAGTTAAAACTTGGGGAAGATACTCAATTACACAAATAATTCATTATTTACAAATGTGATAAGCATTATAGAGGAATCTGACTTAGTCTGGAGTGTTCAAAAGTCATCCTCGAGGAAGCAACATTTAAGCGAGGACCTAAAGAATGCATGTATGTGAGACAAAAGCAGAAGTGGAAACTAGGGATTCTGTAGGCAGAAGCAGCAGTAAGGATGAAGGACCTAAGGTGGAAAGGATTTTGGATTGTTCAAGTGTGGAGAGAAATCAATTTGAGGAAATATTTAGAAAGAGGAATAGATATGACTTGAAATATACAGTCCTCTGTATTCTGTTCCAATGGGAGCTATTTAACACTATAAAGTGACAAAAGGGCTGAAGTAGAAGAGTAGAGGTTGGAAAAGGAGAATGATAAAGAATAGCCAGAGAGGTAAGAAGAAAAATGACAGTGAGATGTCCTGGGAGAGTCTAGAAGAAGGCCTGTTCTGGGACCTCTTCTCTCTTTCCCGTCTCTCTCAGCCAATGCCATGACCATACTTGTCTTTACTGATGACTAAAGCATTTACAGCTTCAGCCCTAACCTCCCCTCTGACCCATATATCCCACCACTTACTTGACATCTTTACCTGAATGTCTAGTAACTATCTCAAAATAAAATGGCAAAACAGAACTCCTGATTTTGTCTCTCAAACTTAGACCTGCCCCAGTCCTCCAATCTTCTTAAAGGAATCACTATCCACCCTGTTTCTCAAGCCAAAAAAACTAGGTATCATCCTTAAATTCTCTCATTCCCACTTGTCCATATCCTCACATTAAATTCATCAGCAAATCAATTCTACATCCCAAATCAGGCTCTTTCCATCTCACTGCTACCAGCTGGCCAGAATCACCTCCTGGACCAGTCTCCTAACTAGTCTCCTTGCTTCCCCTGTACTTCGTTCCCATCCCTCATTCTGTTGCCCCTAAAACAAACCAGAGAGATCCTGCTTAAAACTTTCACAGCAAAACTTAGACTAAAATGGAAAAATTTGTACCTTGCTCTGCAAGGTATCTCGCTGTCTTTCACCAAGCTCTAGATCTGCTTCCCTTTTTTCTGTTACTTGAACACCCAAAGTATAATCTTTTTTTTAATACTAGCTGTTGCTTTTACCTATAATAATATTCTCTTCCAAGATCTTTGCATTACTGATTCCTTCTTGTCATTGGATTCCAAGACTCAATGTTACCCCTTAGAAAGGCTTTCTATAATTAGCCAACCTAAAGGAGACTTTTCTCCTCTCTCTACCACACTGTCCTGTTTGACTTTTAACTTAACACTTGTTTTTGGATATTTTCTTGATTGTTTACTTGTTTATCTGTTTACTGCCAAACTTTTCTGCTAAAATTTAAGCTTTATGAGAGGACAATCCTTATTCACCAGGGTCACTGAAGCATCCTCAGAGCCTGACACTCAATAAATGCTTCTTGAATTAATGAAAAAAATGCTGCTGAAAGAGTAAGCAAAATAAGAAGTGAAAAAATATCATTCGATATGGTGGACATAGAGGTTATTGCTGACTCTAGCGAAAGCAATTATAAAGAATTATTAGGATGTGAAAAAAATGTAAACAGTCACCTAGACAATGCTTTCAAGAAATCTGGCTGTGACTGAGAGGAGTGAAACGGGGCAGTAACTTAGAGGGAAGAAGGAGAGAAGTCTTGTTATGGAGACATGAGAAACTGAGGGGAAGATTTTTTAATTGTATTAACATGAAAAAGACTAAAGCATATTTACATGGTGTTGGGGAAAAGCTGAAAATGTTGGAAAGAGAAGAAATTAAAATTTCCTCCTATATGTGATAGGTACAAAAAGCTAAATTGATAATATGCTTTCAGATCAGTGAACCTACTGTCAGACTGTGAAGACTATGCCAAATTACCCATATAATAGAAAGGATATTTTCTGTTAAAGGCATGTATAAAAGAGAATCAAGCTTTACTTTGCGAACTTGCAGCCATTCATAAAGAGCTTCCAAAAAGAAAACAATAACTATTTTTCCAAACCTTTTATTTCTATGTGATTTTGTACACTTCAAAAAAACTTTTAGGGGCTGGCCAGTTAGTTCAATTGGTTAGAATATGGTGCTGACAACACCAAGGTCCAGGGTTGGATTTCTGTACTGGCTAGCTGCCACAATAAACATACAAAAAACAACAAACAAACAAAACTTTTAGTCTTCCTAACACTTTTCTAAATCACCTATATATTAGCTCAAGAAGGTGTGCAGGAGTAACATGCTCATTATTAGGACTAATATGGAATTAAAGAATTAAACTGTGAAATGTTTTAGGCCAGAATAGATACTGTTCCTCAATTAAGGACTGAAAACATATTGTGGGGACCTGAAATACAATGGAGGTATATTATCAAACAATGGGCTGCTGCGCATGCTAAGAAGTCCTATAATTTGCCTCTTATACCATGCTCTGAATTTCAAAACCTACTGTAACTTGCCTCTTATACCATTCTCTGCATTTCAAACTTCATCTCTGGACTTATATATGAGGCTCTTTAAAAAATGGCATCATACTCTTAAAAGTAAAAATATTATATTATGCATGTGAAAGTACCCATAGTTGAAACTCACCTGCTGAATGAAAACTGTATTAGTGAACCAACAAACTGATGAAGAACTATCAGTCAACAAGCATTTATTGAGCAACTACTAAATGTAAATTCAATGCCAAGAGCTCTGGGAGACGTCAAAGAAATAGAAGACATAATCCCTGGCTTGCAGACATTTATAATCTACCTTTCACTTAAGTACAATCCTAAAAATTATATTGACAAATAAAAATTTATAAGACATCTCACCAAAAGTGCTCAATATATAATTGGGGTTTTTACAAGGCAGAGTGAGGCCTGGTCAGGTAAATATAATCAATAAATGAACGGTGTTTATTACATAAATTAGTAGACTGTCTATAAACTCACCTGCTGAATATCTAGGCTGGTGATATCCATATGTACAATGAGGGCTTCCACATTTTCCATTAACTTTTTATCTTGGAAATGAACAATCAAGTCTTTCATTACCTGGGGTGTTATCCCCACCAATTTATCACTTAAAATATAAGGCTCAAGGCACTCCAAAAACACTCCTTTGGCCACTGAATTCTCATTTAATTTGTCATACATCTGGCTAAATAAAAGATCCCTATAATAAAAAGGGGAAACATATTTTTAGAAACATTCCAAATATCCATTAAATTTAGTCTGCTAAGTATACCTCATCTTTTCCCTATTTCAACTTACTCATGAGTTTATTAGAGACAGTAACAATATTTGCACATAGTTTTATATTGTATTTATATTGTCTTTATATTAAAGACAGTAACAATATTTACGCATAGCTTTATATTTATAAAACCTGTTTTACATATATTTTATCTTAATCTTCTCAATACTTCTTTTAAAAACAAGAAAAGTTAAATAAGCTAAATTGTTTGCTGAAAATTACATAGCTAACAAGTAACAGAGACAGAATTTGAGCCCAGACTTCTGGCCAAAACCTGTGCTCAGTCAATTATGGCATGCTATTTCTTAAAGACAACAACGACAAAGACAACAACAGGGAATAGGAACATGAATAAAGAAGAAAAATCAAAAAGGACTATTCATAATTTATCTTTCCTCTTTCCTGGTATCTAAATATTCCTAGCTGACCTGCAGACTCACCATCCTTCTTTACCTAGCTCCAACCCTTTGCTTCCCAAAGGGTTTGGATAGTGATTATTGATGGGAGTAGAAGAAAAAAAACTTTTAACATTTAAAATATATACCTAGAAATAATTTTATGGTAGAAATAATCTTTTTAAATTACTATAAATGCCACCACGCTCCGCAATTATGTTTTATTATTTCATATTTCTTCTGTAAACACTCCATAAATAATTTGAATTATACTCAGCATAGATATAATTCTCTCTTTTTTTTTTTTTTGTCTTTTGTCTTTTTCCGTGTCCGGCAACGGATCGCAACCCTCAGTGTTGCCCCCGTACCGGACCGGGACCGGCTACGGGATCGCAACCCTCGGCGCTGCTCCCGCGTCTCGCTCAGCCAGTGAGCGGGAACCGGTCTGTATGTGGGATCCGAACCCTCGGGCGGGAGCGCCGCCGCGCTTCCCAAGCGGCGCACTATCCAGTGCACCACCGGGCCGGCCCCAGCATAGATATAATTCTGAATTCTGTTTTCATGTAATATTATATGATAAGCATTATTCTAAATTGCTACTTATTTGTCTAACTCACAATGCTTCAGTATGCTGAAACATCAGAATTCACTTAACTATTTCTATACTATTGGATATATCACTTATTTCCAGTATTTCAGTGACACCACAATGAACATCTACATATATAGCCTTTCCTATTTGGGGGGTGGTTAATTCTTTAGTCATTCGACTTTAGAAATTTATCTTAAGTGAAAAGTTATGAAAATTTTTGTGCACCTGAAATGTGTCACTAAATTTTCAAAAAGTATCACAGCACCAATTTACACCAGCAATGTATAATCATAACAGTTTCATCAGACAATTGGGTTTGTTTTTTCTCCCAATAATTTCATAATTTTCATACAAATTAAACATCATCATTGTTTCTAAATGACTGGCAAAACTGAATATTTTTTCCACTTTTCCATTTATAAATTGTATTGCCTTATACCAATCATTCATTCCATTTTTTATAAATACAAAAACTGTTGCTAATTCTCTCTACTTGTTAGGATTAATTGTTTTTCTAGATGTATAATTTCTTTATATGTGCATCATATCAAGTGTGGAAAGTGGTAGATGGTTTATTTATCCACAGGTATGACTTTTCATGACATATTTCACAAAAAAGGTCAAGAAAGCTCTTGAACAAGGAGTAGGATGGGGTTTTGCCTCATCTGAAGTCCTGGAAGGGGACAGGTGGTAAACAGACTGGCTACAATTACACCAGAACCACATGCCACCTTTCAATAAACAGCATTTGCAATATTTGGGGGGAAATCCATACCCATTTTTTTCTCAAATGCACAAATGTAATTTTTGCAGAATTTCCCCCCTCCACTTCATATTTATCAGAGTAGTTTTCATGTTAGTTTCATTTAATCAATAGTTTGTCACACTTTTGTGATTACCAATTACTAGCCAAGCAAAATAAACTGAGATTATTAAAGCTTTACTATAGGAAAGAAAAGGTAAGAGTAACAAAATAACTAATAAATTCAAAGAAAATGTCATACTTGCTAGCCCTTGCACTCTGTAATGGGTGGTTAAAAACAACATGCTAAGGAAGATAATATATTTTAGTTCAGTACAAAGAGTCTTGGGGAAGAGAATTAAAAAGAGCTAAAAATCCAGTAAACAAGGCATAAAAGTTGATAAACAAGTCAGTCCTATGACAAAGAGCAGCATGCAATACTGGTAAGATTAATGGCAAAACTACACATTTCTTTCTTAATCAATCAGAGGCTATAATAAAGAAGCAAGAAAAATAAGAATCAGCAACTCCTCTCTGAATTTCTACCTTAAAATAAAAACAAAACAAAATTCTAAGACCTGCTCTCATCATTTTGGGAGAATATTTATTAGAGCATCAGGAGAAGGGGAAGAAAAAAAAGTACCCACACAAAAAACTTTTCAGCTCTTATGTTTCTTTCTGTATTTAGGCATTATTCTCCAGGGTACTGACTTTGTTTCCTAGAAAGGCTGACTTCAGAATTGCTATTTTCCATTTCAAGCTTAGCCTCCCTACATACAGACAGTGTAACAGAAAATCTATCATGAATAATAGAGGACCATCAAAGAGATCTTTTTACAAACTTCACTTTATATTAATATTCATGATAAAGATTTCTTTTGGAGTTTATCATTGATAACTTGGAATAGAAAAAAATCATTAAATTCACTTTGTACATGATCCATTTTATAATTTCTTTAAAAAACACTGCTTTGCTTATGAGATAATTACAAATTCAGAGACTGTCTAAAGGGAGCAAGGGCATCAATCATTAACACTTTGCCAATCTATACTAGATATATAACCAGAACCAAATAAATAAATTCCCACTAAAGATAACTGGGATTTAATAAACTCAAAGTTGGTTTGGGCTGGTCTCCTTATTTATAAAAGTAGAAGCAAAGTTCAAATCAACTTTAAGAAATTATTTTCAAAATGCTCTGTTTTCTGATACAAGTATCACAGTTTGTAAAGATTTCCTTTAAAAGGGCATGGCTTGACTGTGGTGATGCTTGCACAACTCTGTGAATATAATAAAAGACTACTGAATTTTATACTCTAAAAGGGTGAGTTTTATGGCATGTGAATTATATCTCAATATAACTGTTATAAAGTCAAATGGTACCTTTTTTCCCCTAGCTTTGATATTTATAATTTAAACATGCACTTATCAAACAAATGATTATTCAAACCATCCAGTTTCTTTTTTTTTTTTTTTTTTGTCTTTTTTGTCTTTTTTCCGTGTCCGGCAACGGATCGCAACCCTCAGTGTTGCCCCCGC